AAAGACGAAAGAATGTTGTAGTGAATTTAAATATAACGTGGATTGGGTAAAGAAGTCTCATAGTCATATCTAATAGAAATTTGCTTTAGTCCAAGAGATAGGCTATGAAACCAATGTCCCAGAGGAAAAAGAACTTCAACCCAACACAATTATAGCCTTGCATATTTAACAAGAATAAATCGAGTGAGAACTTAAAAGGAAAAATAATGGAAGGAAGTATGAACATAGTCAGGATTTAAGATATTGGGCCTTGAGACCTAGTTAACCTACCTAAATTTTATTAACAAAAATAAAGAAAAAAAAAAGAAAAAAGAAAAATAACATTCTCTAATTTTCTTTTTGAGATTTATGTTAATATTGATTGCAACTTTAAAGTGGTTGAAATTAATAAACCTAACCTAATTCATCTATGGCTACCATGAATGAAAGTTCATTCCAAGTTTCCTTATTGAAAGTGTACTTAATTTTGAATTGTAGGGGACAGGTTCTTTTGGTTTTCAGACGTGGAATTTGCTAGGGAAACTTTGGCAGGTGTCCACCCAAATAAAATCCAATTGGTGAAGGCAAGAGTAGCTACAAATATTTTTATTACATCTTTAAAACACACACACATATATATATATATATATATATATATATGAGGAGAGATCTGTTTACTCTAGGAATAAGTCTATATCAAATTTTAATGATTCAATCATTGAATTTAAAGTTCTTAATACATATATCAAATCTGCAAATTTTTAAAAAATTTGAAAACCAAAGTTGACAAATATAATATTTTTATAATTATTCGTCAATTTGAATTAATGAAACGAAGTATAAAATGATTTTTAAATTTTTTAAAATTTTACAGATTTAATCTATGCATTAAAAATTTTAAATTCAACGGTTGGATCATTAAAATTTGATATAAAACATAAATTATTGAATGAAGTAAGTTTATGTAAACTTATTTCTAGAGTAAATGAATCTCTCTCATAGATATATATATATATATATATAATAATAATAATAATAATAATAATTTTTAAATTTTTTTGTTCTATTCATATTTTTAGGAATGGCCTTTGACGAGTAAACTAGACCCCCAAATTTACGGCCCACAAGATTCAGCAATAACTAGAGAAGTCATTGAGCCACAAATAATCACTTATGGAACAATTGAAGAGGTACCATAGCGTTGATGACTTTATCAAATTCAGAACATGGATTTATTGTGCTAAAACTTTGTATAATTTCTATAATGCAGGCCATTAAAGAGAAGAAGTTATTCATGCTAGACTACCATGATTTATTCTTACCATACGTAAGGAAAGTGAGAGAGATTGAGGGCACCACACTATATGGATCACGAACATTGTTCTCCCTTACTAAACAAGGCACATTGAAGCCACTAGCCATTGAGCTCACTAGACCACCTATGAATGGCAAGTCACAATGGAAACAAGTCTTCACACCTGATTCTCATTCGAGTTCTCATTCTACCAATCTTTGGCTTTGGAGGCTTGCAAAAGCTCATGTTCTAGCCCATGATTCTGGTTACCATGAACTTATAAGTCATTGGTAAGTACTAGCAACCATATCATTATCTTATGCAATGTATTTAATATAGAGTAAACACCTAGTTTGATATTTGAATTTGTAAGACGTTGTTGTATTAGTTTTTGAAATTAAAAAATAATCAAACAAGTATTTAATTAAAATATTAAATAATTCAACTATTTACTAACAATTTAGTCTCTGGTTAAATATCAATATTTTATCGCTTTAATCACACATCTTTTTAAGTTTTGAATAAATGTGATTGTTAATTTTTACTTTTAAGGACTTGTTTTAGAATTTTGTTATTTCAAATACCAATACAAAAAACATTTTCCAAATTCAAGATTCAAAATAAGTGTTCATTTAATATATGTGCGAATCTTAACATTTAGTGGGTATGATAAATTTCAGCGAAGCTTAGTAGTGCTAACTTAGTTCATGTAAATATTCTTTGTAGGTTGAGGAGTCACTGTGCCATGGAACCTTTCATAATTGCAACACATAGGCAACTTAGTTGCATGCATCCAATATATAGATTATTACTTCCACATTTGAGATATACTATGGAGATTAATTCCCTTGCACGTGAGGTCCTTATAAGTGCAAATGGGGTCATTGAAATATCATTCTTTTCTAATAAATATTCAATGGAATTAAGTTCTATGACATATGATCAACTTTGGCGGTTTGATTTGCAAGCGCTTCCAAATGATCTTATTGAAAGGTATATACTATAAAATTACTCTAGGATTTTCTTTCTCTTTTCCCTTCTCTTTAAAATCGTATTGATGAACAATCATTTTCTCTTATTGCTCGTTGTTCTTTTTAGAGGAATGGCTGTGGCAGATTCTGATGCACCACATGGCCTAAAGCTAACAATAGAAGATTATCCTTTCGCCAATGACGGTTTGCTTATATGGAATGCCATAAAAGAGTGGGTAACAGAGTATGTCACACATTATTATCCAAACCCAATAACCATTGAGTCTGACCAAGAGCTCCAAGCATGGTGGGCAGAAATTCGAAAAGTGGGTCATGGGGACAAATCTGAAGAACCATGGTGGCCAAATCTTAATACATCAAAAGATCTTATTGACATCATCAGCACAATTGCTTGGGTAGCATCTGGTCATCATGCAGCTGTGAACTTTTCCCAATATGCTTATGGAGGCTATTTCCCTAATCGACCCACAATTGCAAGAAACAAAATGCCAACAGAAGACCCTTCTGAAGAAGAATGGAAAAAATTTCTAAACAAACCTGAGGACACTCTTTTGGAGTGTTTCCCATCACAAATTCAAGCAACGTTAGTGATGGTGATCTTGAACTTATTGTCTGAACATTCACCAGATGAAGAATACATTGGGCAATACATGGAGCCATCATGGGTTCAGAATCCAACTATAAAGGAAGCCTTTGAAAGGTTTAATACAAAATTGAAGGAAATTGAATGTATTATAGACTCTAGGAATGCAAATAGTAATTTGAAGAATAGACATGGAGCTGGAGTAATGCCTTATGAGTTATTGAAGCCATTTTCAGGGCCAGGAGTCACTGGAAAGGGAGTTCCATATAGCATATCCATCTAAAGTTTGGTAATTTAAGGAAAAATAAAAATAATTTCTTTTAATTATTTTGTGCCCATATGGCCTTAATAATAAAAATAATTTCATAAAGTATTGTATATATTTTACATTTTTATGTAAACAAATTATATTGTGGTACAATAAAATTCTGAATCAAGTTGTTGTTCATTTAGTAAAAAGAATAAACATATACATAATAATTATTGTGAAGTATTATCATAGTTGGCGTATCAATATAAATATTACTCTAAATACTTATATTAATATATTTAACTTGATATCTTAAATCATGACTTGTGATATGTGATCATTAGTCAACTCACATAATAAATTTAATATATTAATTATTATCGTCCTAGTCAATAATAATACTTGACTATAAATAATTTCATAATGCTCACATTCAAATCACAGTTGATATATCTTTGAATAAATTAACTATTCTAAGGGCATTATTATGTTATATAATAAATAACATAATAATTGTCACGTCTTTATAATAAGATATCTACGTATCAAGTTGTGATAAAAATAGAAGGATTGGTCATTAAGTATAATTCCAACAATATCTCACTAGCCCTGTGGCCAAGAGAACATAAACCTAATGTCCATTGTCTAGTGTGAGCATCATGCTTTTGCTAAGCAAAATGCTTCATTAGTAGTTACCTACATACTCTTTGGCGGAATGAGTGTGTTAAGATCTCCTTCATCGATACTATATCAAATGAGATGGAAGCATCTAAGTATGAATATGTTTTTGGATCACATGTGAGATTTAAGTTCATTGACTTGTGTGGTTTTTAACATTGCATTTTTTTAAAAAAAGTAAATAATAAAATAAGATTGTTAATTAATATTTATATTAAAAACTTAATTAATTTATTTAATTGAGCTTATAATATAAATAAAAGATATTTTTAATAAATAAAAAAACTAGAGTTTAAGTGGTGGGTTAGAGAAGAGCCTTTGAATTTGGACTCTTAAGCCTAACCTAAAGTCTAATAAAAAAATAAGTAGAGGGGAGATTAGGTCATATAATGCATCAAATTCGTAAACTCTAAAATGCTATAGAAAAAAACCAAGAGAAGAATCCTAAGGAACAAGTGAAGTAGCCTTTGAACAATGGAAGATCATGCCTAAAGTTGTCAAAATAGTTCAGTTCAATCCACCTAACCCACTTTACAAGTGGGTTTCCTAGCCTAACCCACCTACATTATTGCCTAGAATTTTCCAGCCCAACCTAACCCACCATGGGTTGGTGGGCCAAATAGCCTAACTCATCAATCCACCGAATTCTTTTTTCTTTTTTTGAAAAAAAACTCCTATTTAAAATACAATTCAATCTAAAATATCCTTTAATCTAAAATAAAAATTATAAAATTAAGCATCATAAATACAACATTAAACTTAATTGAAAATTTTGTCCATCAATATTCAACATTAAATAATAAATAAAAAAAATTCTTTGTCATTAGAGTGATTTGTCCATCAACATTAAACTTCATTAGAGGCTTGAGCAGATAAGTCTATAACAATTTGATGTTGGTTAACCTCAACTTTATCTTCATTCACAAAAAGAAATGATATCTTATTTAAATTAATAATATATATATATATATATATATATTACATAAAATGGTTAAGTGGTAAACAAATTTTAAAATGAAGTGGTAATAAATAATAAATATTTTCTAGTTCTTCAAAACCATGCAACCAATTTTTAGTTAAAATGAATAATTCAACATTTTCAAGAAGAATGGTAGAACGATACTTGGTAAGCACACAATATTCAAGACTAATTGCGGACTCATTAGCAACTACAACTATAGTGATTGGAATGCTCAAAACATTATAAGCCATTTAGGAAAAGACTGGATGACGGTCATGACGATCCTTTCTATAAACCAACACATCCAACTTATCAAAAAAATTTAGATCAAGATTGGGTTCATCCAAGTATATATAGATCTAATTTAGATTTTCCATTAGCATTAACATATTGCCTCAAATAATCAATATATTCCTAAGATATTAAAAAAATGAACTACAATAATAGTCAATGATAAATATTAAATAAATTGACATGTTTGAAGAAACTAATTCAATTAAAAAGTAACATACATTAAGGAGGCATTTGGTAGGGAGATGTTTTTCATACCGAGAAATCATGATTTTTGAGAACTACAAACCCTAGAAATCATGATTCTTAGGAATTTCTCTCTCTCTCTCTCTCTCTCTCTCTTTCTTGTATCTCATTATTTTTTTACCTTGTTAACTTTAATAATATTATAAAATTATATTTTGTTTGTACAACAGTATTTGTTAATATTTTATTTATTTATTTATTTGAACAAAGTAAAATAATATATTTTTATCCTTCTTATTAAAGATCATCTCACTACCCATAATCTTTATACATGCCCACATGAAGTGATAATCCAATGGTGAGATCTCATGCCTCCAAAAGTTTCTCCTGAAGGTTCTCATCTATAAGTTATCTTTAATCATTAGAAGCTCTAATAAGCCTCAACACTGGCTTGTGTTGTAATAGCCCAAACACACTAAAATGAGAGGGATCCATAGATTATACAAGTATGAGATTGTATAGTTGAAGATGGCTTAAAACAATTAATTTGTATTACCTTTACCAACAAGATACAATACAAGAAAAACGTAAATTTTTTATGGAAAATTTTTGACGGATATGAATCCGTTCTGACGGAAAATTCTGTCGAAAATATAAATCTGTCAAAAATTTTCGACAGAAAATTTTTTATGGAAGATTCCGTCAAAAATTTCTGACAGATTTATATTATTGTCAAAAATTTCTAACGGAAATACAAATCTGTCGAAAAATTTAAGACCATAGCACATTTCCTAATGTCCCTTGTTTGAACTCTTCGGGAATCCGATGATGCCTACACACAGGATCAACTAAGTCCTAGAGGAGAACAACACAACGTCCACTCCAAGGGACAACTTCCCAAGGAGCGTTTTCAACAAATTGGGCTCTCAGAGCACCACAACTATCTCAATCCGCACAATGGGATGAGCAACTTCAAAAACATCTCCTCTAGTCCTAGTGATCAACAACTTATCATTACAACTTAATCAACTTACAACTTAAACAACATGGTATATCAGCACAACAACTCATCAACGTTATTTAACAACACAACATCTCATTTCAACTTTAAACCGCACAATCAACTTAATCATCATAAAATAATATCTTTTCAACACATGGCACAACATACAACTTTATAGCAACATACAACTCTTTTCTAACAACTTAACAATATTATCATCATGCACTTCACAACATATACATGTCCGCACATAATATATAGCAACTTTATCAACTTAATTTCAACTAGCTTCAACAATCTCATAGATCAACACCACTTGTAAACAACTTCACAACTTAACTACAACATGCATCTCCAACAACATCATTAATAAATATTTAATCATATATTAGCAACACACAATATTTTCATCACATAACATAACTCATACTAATCAACCTAAGTACCCAAAGGAGTTCCCAACTCACATACAACCAACAACTTTACAATCTAGCTTCCCTTACCTGCATATTGGCTCAGAATAGCCAAGAAACAGAATTTCCTTTTCGAAGCTCAACCCGGAACTTCAATCCACCTAAAGCAAGCTTCCTAGTCCAAAGTCCTCTCTAAAACTTCTCTCTAAAAACCTCCTCTTCTCCTCAACCACCCAACTCTATTTATAGAAGTTCAGGAGTGGCCAGAACGGCCTGTTCCGAATCCGGAACATCCCGTTCTGCACCCTTTCATCATGTGTAAAAATCACATGTAGAATGACCCGTTCTGAAATCAGAACGGCCCATTCTGGGACTCATCCAGAACGACCCGTTCTGGGACTCATCCAGAACGACCCGTTCTGGGACTCATCCAGAACGGCCCGTTCTCCATCCAGAACGGGCTGTTTTGGGGTTTGGAACAGCCCGTTCTCCCTCCAGAACGGCCCGTTCTCAACCACGATTTACAGGTCAATTTAATAGCTTGGAACGGCTAAGGTTTACCCTTACTAGATGAACCAAACTTATTATGATTCTTCATGGGTCCTCCACTCTTATAATGAGTTACCCTAGCACGGTTGTCCTCACCATAGACTCAACAGTTGTTTACCAATTCATGATATTGAGTGATCCCTTGGTAATTGAAAACTTGTTTGATCTCAGGGTGAAGACTACTTACAAACTTCACACACTTGTCCTCTTCATTACCCACACCATCATACATGGGATAGAATCTAACCAGGTCTTTAAACTTAGTCACATACTCAGCCACAGAATCCTCTCTTTGCTTCAACTCAAGGAATTCTACCTGTTTCCTACGTCTCACATCTCGTGGAAAGTATTTCTCCAAGAATAGCCGCTTGAAATTCTCCCAGTTCACTTGGGTACCTGCAGCCATCATTCTCTGCAAAGCACCTTGCTACCAGAACCCCTTTGTACATTCTTATGTCATCATTCCATTAACATCATATAGGTAGTTTCTTTTTTTAAAAAAAATGAATAAAAGAAATCTCATCTCCATGCATCATTCCCCTTTAGACAATAAAAACATGATAAAGATTAGGCAAAAAAAATATGACATGCATTCTAAATTAGCTCATTAATTTCATTTATTTTATTTTATTAGCTAAGGAGGATTAGGTTGCAGTACGTATAGAAAGTTAAGAAAAGTGAATGCTCTAATATACGACAGTATCTGCGCTCTAAAGAAAAGTTGATGGAACTAGTTGAAGTAGATTGTGATTTCTTCAATAGCCCCATGCTTGGACCAAATGCCTCTTGAGGTTGACACTTGAAAATCTCTAAAATCTCCTTTGAAGTGTTCTTCAATGGAGAAGAAGTCTTGATAGGGATTCGGTTACTTCAAGCTTGAAGTAGAAGCTTGATGAACCAAGGCAAGGTTTGAATGAACCTTGAGGGAAACCTTAGAGAGAGAGTTCTCCACGGTTCTAGGGACTCTTGAGTGAGAGAGAAATCTGATTTCTATTCTCATAAATCTTCAAAAGTGAGTACAAGAGTAGGAAAATCAAATATATAGGGGAAGGTAGCTTGTAGGAGAAGCTAACCTTAACCATGGTTCACTAGGAACCATGGTAGGGTTAACTTAAAC